CTTACAATAGCAATGTTTGATATTATGTGTATGTAAAATGACCGGTCGAGACTTAGGCATCTTCTTTCTTAGTTTACTGCGGGATTTATACGAATACACATAATATACCACCCACAATACTAGTTTCAGATACGGTTGCGAATAATTGCAGTAACGGATATTAGATTTCAGAGATTGTAATATGAAAATACAAATAGACAATGACTTGAATACTTTTTCTAGGTCATTATTAGATAGACTGAAGCAGAACAAAATTTGTTCTATTCTCATTTTTTTTATCATATCCACAATATAATATATATATATATAATATATAATATCCATATATAATAATATATATCCATGTATATCCATATTTAATATCCTTTTATGTAGTTTTTATAGGTGAGTACCTATTAGTATATTTTTTTATATTTAATGATGCCATTTATCTATCTGTAAACTGCAAAAGTGTGGCCATGAGTTTGTTTGCCCTTTCTTCTCAATAGGCTCAACCCCTTGGAAACGGGCGGTTGTAGATCGGCATAGCCATCACATTTTGTATAAGTTTAATTTTTATTAAATTTATTTTGCTTACTATTTGACAAAACAGAGATTTTTAATATGGTCTGTGTTGATCTATGACTTTAGGGTCTACATAAAAGACGATTTCAAACAATTTTATCAAATAAAGATATTTTTAGTTTGTGTTTATAAGTATTATCTGCTTAATAACACAAAACCACATTCTAATTAAAAACAAACATTGTAGTACAACCAATCAAAAGTAGGCATAACGTGTCCATGTAGAATCCGATATTCCGTTAGGTGCGTTCCATAACCAGCTACTTAAAAAGTTCACAAGAAATCATAAAGTTTTTTTTTCATAATTTATTTTCTCTAAAATGTAACCGAGTTTTTGTGTAACACAATGTCTATTCATCTCTCATTTAGCTCCAAATTCTAGTCATTCCAGATAACAAGAGCGCATTGAAAACCAACGTGACTATTGTTAACTAAATATTGATGAAGTATTGTTATATTGTTCACATAAAAATACGTAGAATTTTGTTTAAAATTGTATTATTCAAATATTTTAACAGAAAGAATGCCAACACAAGTAATCATTAGTACTTATTTAAAGTACAATGTGCCCCGAGATCTAAATAGAAATATTTTTTAAACGTCCTGTAAACACTGCAAAGTTGGTGTGTGGTATTATGAACCTGAAATGATGTGCCTTTTGGACGTTATTGAGCAAAAAGAAAATGTAAATAATATCTAAAATGGCAGTATAAATCAAGAATCTTTTGCCCCATGGTTTCAACGACAACGTGCAACACCAAGCCGGGCAACCCGCGACCAAGGTCAATGAAAGATGGTATCTCCGTTCAACTTGGAATAAGATACTAAAAGTATTCTTTATGTTTATTATTAGCCAGTAACCTCACTCACTCGATACCACCAACAGCCTATAACAGTTCACTGCTGGACATAGGCCTCTCCTTAGAAAGGAGGTTTTGGCCTACTATACCACGCTGGCCAAACGGGTTGGTATAGGGTTTGTTTCAAGTTTTCCTTCTCTTAGCAGTGCTGTCGTCCTGCGTAGTTTGCTCCCTTAGTCGGCTCTTACAACACCCACGGGATGAATAGGGGTGGTGACATTCCGTATTCTTAATCCGTCACCACACGGATCACTCGATAAACAACAATGAAAACATTGATCAACACCGAATTTACCCCATATTAAATATTTGTATGGGATGACAATTTTAGGCGGCGTTAAAATTTGAGATTATACGTCTCTACTTACCTCTTCGGGAATACAGGCGTGATATTTGGTTTGTGGGCGTGAGTGTATGTATATATTGAAGTCATGATGGCCACCAACACTTTTTCATTGAAAACAGGAGTAAAGCAGTATCTTGTAAAACAACTGGCAGAATCAACTTACACGTGATTGCCATCTAATATTATTATTGGTATTTATTTGTTGGTGTATGTATTGATTTAAGTTTATTTAGGTATTTGTATGTACTTATACAGGGTGTAAGGGACAACATAACGAATACTGAAATAGTGTATTCAGACTATCATTCTGAGTCGAAAGTCATGGGATTTTTCTACATTTTTTAGAAAATTCTTCATTTTTTTTATAATTTTCCATTTTTTTGGTTAAAAATGATATCACAATACGTACGTAGACTGTTTGCACGGAATACACATGTAGTTATTACTTTTGTGTGATACCAACGGGGAATGACCTTAACCTTTGACAGCTGATTGCATAAAAAGTTTAATTTTAAGACAGAAAATTCCAAGGATTTTAGACTCAGCTCAGAATGATGGTCTAAATACACTAATTATAATAATAATAAATATTGTACCACATTCACACAACGCCATCTAGTCCCAAACTAAGCAGAGCTTGTACTATGGGTACTAGATAACTGATATAAATACATATATACTTTTTTTTGTAAATATGTACATACTTATTATACATAGAAACACCCAGACCAAATCAAACATTAAATGTTCATGCACACAAATGTTTGACTTGAGCGGGAATCGAACCCGCGACCTTTGGAATAGCAGTCCGGAAGTTGGAATTTTGTATAAATACATTATGTGTATATATTAAAAAACTAATTTCAACCAAAATCCATCTACTTCCTGTTTCCTCTGCATCACCCAAGGGTTGACTGAAAGAAAAAAAAAGTATATTTATGTTGAAAATGAAAAAAAAAAGCAAAATTATAATTCAAATATTTAATGTTATACAATTTGCAGCTTATACACATAGATAATGTACATTATATGAATATAGTTAACATAATTACAATGAATAGGTGCAATCACGACGGGTGTTAATCAAACATAAGATAATATTGATCGTTACATTAGAGGGATATACCGACTATGTTTATATAAGTTAGTGACACAAAATAGCTTAAATGCCATTAAAAATTTTCATAATAATAAATCCCCCACTGAACTAGAAAGTAATATCTTAACATGGGATTAAGACCAATGATCTCACTAGAACTCCCATAATATAGTTGCCAGACTAAAAACAAGGCTCACAATGACCAGTGGAGAACATGAATAAAATATTTTGTTAATTTCTAGAGCCTAAAAATAAATACAAAATTGCTGTGTTTTCATTTTAAATAACTAATGAACAGTTCTAAAAATATTTATTTCTGAAGTTGGTAGTATTTAAACCATTTTGAATCAACTAAACGACATAATAATTTAACCATACACATTTTTGGATTATTATATTTATTTGTATATACTAAAGTAATAACTATTAAAGCTAACCATTAAAACGTACAAAGATAAATTAAAAACTATTTACAAAATATTACAAAACGTTCATTTTTCATTTAATCATAGTTATTAGTAAAAACAATTTATTCAATGGTATATCTTAATTATTTTCTGTTATGTACTTGTTGGGACAAGACAATATGACATGGCACTTAATAGTCCGAAATAAAACATTTAACTGACTTATAATACTGTGACAATGTCGGGAAATATTCATATATTTTATATAAAGCATTGTCGCTATAATGAGTCCCATAACTCACCTTTAAATATTTTTATTTTTAAATTATTTAATCAAGTCAATAAAAGACTTGATCACGTTGATAATTGACTTGTCACGCCTGTTAATTGCTATGGATTAGTATTTAGATTGTATTGTTCAAGGTTCGAATACCACTAAATACATTTTCAAGACGAACGTAAGCATTATTTATTTTGATTATTGTTTAGTTAAAGAATAGTTGCAACGTGTTATTGGTAAATATTACATTACTCATTATAGCGAGTATATAATTAGATTCTTAATCCTCAAAAGTATCGTGACGTAAATCAAAAGCGTGCAGTAGCCGGCTCAGAAACGCGCTGAGTCGCTTAGACGTTTTGTATCTGCGCATGCGCATGTATGACAAACGGCAAGGTAGATCACTATCGCGCCTATGTCAACACATTTCGCTATTAACGTAATATTTAATAATAGTTGTACAATGAGAAGTGACGATAAATAAAGTTTTTTACTTTATTTATTTATATCATTTGGCCATATTTTATTTACAATTAATGTAAATTAGTAAAAAATGTGACGTCATTATTAGACGTGTTGTTTTATTTGATCACTAATTTGTTTAAAAAACTAATATTCAGGGGCTCCGTGATTCGAATAATTATCCACTTTGTTATTTTCTTAATCACGAATAATAATGACTTAAAATAAGTTTGACACAGCAAGTTTATGTGTAACAACAGTGTTTAGAGTCCAGGCGGGCGCTCACACGGCCGAGTACTTGCGGCCGTCGTCGGAGGAGTAGCAGTGCTGGCAGTGCAGGCGCGCGTGTCGCTCACACGGCCGAGTACTTGCGGCCGTCGTCGGAGGAGTAGCAGTGCTGGCAGTGCAGGCGCGCGTGTCGCTCACACGGCCGAGTACTTGCGGCCGTCGTCGGAGGAGTAGCAGTGCTGGCAGTGCAGGCGCGCGTGTCGCTCACACGGCCGAGTACTTGCGGCCGTCGTCGGAGGAGTAGCAGTGCTGGCAGTGCAGGCGCGCGTGTCGCTCACACGGCCGAGTACTTGCGGCCGTCGTCGGAGGAGTAGCAGTGCTGGCAGTGCAGGCGCGCGTGTCGCTCACACGGCCGAGTACTTGCGGCCGTCGTCGGAGGAGTAGCAGTGCTGGCAGTGCAGGCGCGCGTGTCGCTCACACGGCCGAGTACTTGCGGCCGTCGTCGGAGGAGTAGCAGTGCTGGCAGTGCAGGCGCGCGTGTCGCTCACACGGCCGAGTACTTGCGGCCGTCGTCGGAGGAGTAGCAGTGCTGGCAGTGCAGGCGCGCGTGTCGCTCACACGGCCGAGTACTTGCGGCCGTCGTCGGAGGAGTAGCAGTGCTGGCAGTGCAGGCGCGCGTGTCGCTCACACGGCCGAGTACTTGCGGCCGTCGTCGGAGGAGTAGCAGTGCTGGCAGTGCAGGCGCGCGTGTCGCTCACACGGCCGAGTACTTGCGGCCGTCGTCGGAGGAGTAGCAGTGCTGGCAGTGCAGGCGCGCGTGTCGCACGCGCACGTCGGCGCCTGCGCGCCCGTCGCCCAGCGCCGCGCCGCACACCGCGCACGTGAAGCAGCGCACGTGGTAGCACAGCGACAGCGACTCGATTATCATCGCCGCGCCGCGACCTGCCCGCCGGACAAAGCGTTCGTTAATAACGATGCCATCTCATCTACTAGCTGGCGGCCGACTCTAGCGTCGCACGAGCTCATCGATCGAATTATTCACACCCACAGATTACAGAGATTAAATATATCTCACATCAATAACATTTTCGCACATCAAAATTTTACACGCAAGCGTCTGTGTACCGACACAGACCGTAAGAAGGTACTCAACACACATTATTTGTCGTGTGTGGGAATCGAATCCTCGTCCACTGGACCATCCTTATCAGTAAGATAACGAACCACTTAACCAAAAAGCCTAAATAGTAATTTAATTAATTGACTATTAATTAGATTACTATTTAGAGATTCCTATCAAATGTGTCGACTACACATCTGACCTAAAGTTCTCTTAAAATAAAATAAAAATCTTCATTGTAAAAAAAGAAAGAAAAAACTTTTTATTTAATACAAGGCATATAACTGTCTTGAGCAATTTAAAAACACGAGACTTAAAAGCCTTGTAGTCATACCACAAACATACTTGATTAAAAGTGACACGTGACATTCATTAAAAAACAAAGTCTATAGCCTGTCATATGACGAGGCCGATGCCCAGCAGTATATTACGTACAGAGCGTAAAGTTAATAAATAAAACAAAAAAGTAACATTTATTTGCTAACTATTATAAACGTATAGATTGACAAACAGAATATAGACAGACTCTTAGGTCTCAGCATTTACTGAGTTGCGTTGTGTGTTCTTATTTTCGCGCCAAATTTTGTCAACTATATCCACGCACTTCCTAATGGTTGTGTCAAAATGGAGTGGGGTTTTAATAAGAATCTACCTATTATAATTGCTGTGTCATTACGAATATAGCCATATGCAATCATTTTTACATTATTATTCAAATAGCAATATTTAGTGAAGCTTTCTATGTGCTAGAAACATATCTGACTCCACGTAACGCACTAACTGAATGGATGATTTATAAGGTAAACGAGAGGTAAATTCAAAACAACTTCTTACGCCAAATTGTAATACCGCCTTTGCACCAGAAACGAGCCGGCGCGGGAGTTACCACCTTTATCTGTCCCTAACTTGGCACCAATCACCGCAATTAGACCTTAGGCTTTTATTTTAGTTGATATTTAAACTGTCTTTTCACTCACTTTTTACCTCAATTGGTTATTTTTATTTACAACTAGAAGGCGCCGGCCGACTGCTTGAATGTATTTTTAATCAAGACTGATAAATTAAATTAAATAATTCACATGCCAATGTGTACTGTGTATGAACAAAACATCCTTTTTTGTGTAAATCTTTGTGTCTTAGTAGATAACATAATTATTAATATTCAGAATACACATGTGAAGTGGGGTTAAAATTTTCAGTTTTTGGAAATGTGGTTCCTTTCTGTGTTGTCTCATTAGCTTTTTTGCAAAGAGATTTTCCACCCCGTCAACAAAAAAAATACAAAGGACTAATATTGTGTGATGAGTATGTTCATTTATTTGTGTCTGGATGTAATTTATCTATATGTATTTAAATAAATACATATAGATAATAAATATTCAGAAATATATAAGTATGTTTATCAGCAGTCTTGTTACCATAGCTTTGTCTAGAGAGAGAGATGCTTGAAGTAATTATTATTATATAAGAAATGTGTGTATTTAGTATTCTTGCATGTGTCTATTTTTTCCCTGTTTATGTGCTTCTCTATTTGTGCGAGACAGAATTTGTTACTATTTAATTCTTTTTGTTTAATTTAGAAATCCTTATTAAAGTGTAGTGCACCTTAGAACACATTTTCATACCACTCTACTTTAGACTGGTAGAGAATGCCTGTGGCATTCTCTACAAATCTACTATTGTACATAAAGTTTTAATTAATAAATGAGTAAAAATACTATTACATTTTCCTATGGTCAATTTGTTACTATTAGTTTTTAATCACTAAATATTACTGACCGGGCCTGTTGGTGACTACACCAACCACTAGGTTAGTGACCCTGACTGACCCTGAGGGGGCAAACGAGCAGACGGGTCATCTGATGGTAAGCAACTATTGCCGCCCATGGACACCTGCAACTCAAAAGTAACAAGTGCGTAGCTGCCTTAGAGTCCCTCCAGCTCGAGTCAGCGTAGAGAGGGGGGGGGGAGGGGGGGGTTATTTAGGCTGCGTTAATCTCACTCACGCCGGTTTTCTGTGGGCTGGAGCTTGTGGGTTCGACTCTCACCCAGGACAAATAAGAATTGTGTGATGAGTACGATCATTTGTTCTATATCCTATATGTATTTGTAGATTATATGTATGTATTTAGATACATGTTAATGTATTTATCAGAAGTCTGGTTACCATAGTACAGGCTGTCCCTAATTTGTAATCAGACTATCGTGTGTGAGATGTGTGAAAAAATAAATAGGTAAACAATGTAACTTTACTAACTTCTTAATAGATGATATATCTTACCAAGTTCCTCTCCACAATGTGAGCACTTCTTGCGTCCGCTGACGCTGAGCAGCTTATCTTCTCTCGTCTCCGTCCGGACTGGACGCTTAATGTCGCTACATAACTGTTGTTGGCTGGAAATTAAATGAGAATGTTCGTTAAAATTTATTGTGCACTTTTTTTTTCCTGTGTTGCGGTAGACTTACAAACATTCATGTAACAGACACAAAGAACACGCAGACTCAGACCAACACTTTGTGGATCACACAAAAGGTTGTCCTATGTGGGGATCGAAAAAAAAAAAAAAAATTAAGCGTCAAAAGTTAGTGTATGTATATTAAGAGTGGCCTTATCGTAAAAATTGATTTCTACCAGAAAAACTTTACTCTGCTCGTACGTATGTTTAATGTTTGCATGTCTACGATTTTCTTAAGTATTAACACTGACAATTTATGGCATTATGTCTGATATGTATAACAATTATAGGTACATAGCATTTACTGCATTGCAGTTAGTGCTAAGAATAGATCATTATCAACATGATAATCATCAGTCCACTGCTGGACATAGGCCACTCTTTAGAAAGGAGGTTTTGTCCTACTATACCACGGTGGACAGACGGGTTGGTATAAGGTTTGTAGTTAATTAAGAATAGTTAATTAATAACAATCAAAACTAAAGACTAAACTATAAACTATTTGAATTAATACTATTTTAAATCTATGTTACAAATTACTTATGAAATTTTAATCTACCTTATGATGAGACCAAAAACTAAGAATGTCTACTGTTGAATTAGTTTACTTAAACTTTAGACAGTTTATAGGGACACATCACAACAACAGCTATTAACAGTCCCCCAGTGGACACAGTCTTCTCTCCAGTAAGCAGGCTCTGGCCTACAATACCACGCTGGCCGATCTCCCCTCTTTTTGTATTGCTGCTGTCCCGCATAGTTTTGCTCCTTAGTCGGCTTTTACGACATCCACGGTGGTGACACTCCGTATTCTTAATCCGTCACCACACAGATAGAGGTGTCTGTATTTCTGATGGTTATGTACAGCACTAAACTATTCTTTCATTTTCTGAAAATATTAGTTCTTAAAGGTCTCGTTACCTATTGCTGAGGGTTTGCATGTCGTGCAGATGAGCTGGATGCGTGGGATGTGCAGGATGCTGTACATCCTGGTGGTACGAGTTACGTTGCGTCGCCCTAGTTCTCCGAGCTTCTTCAATACGACGTTGTTCGGCTTCCTGAAGACAAAAGAATGTTTTTAAATTAGTTTTTTTTTTTGACACAAGAAAGTTGTTCTGTACGAAATCACAGTGTAAGTAAATCTTTTTTTTTCCAGATATTTTTACAAGTCGGACTTTACAGCTAGAAGGAGCCCGCATTTCCTAAGACTCACTCTGGGAAGAAACGCCGAAACAAACCACAGAGGTGTCTTTTGGTGGTTCGTAAGCAAAGTTAAATAATAATAATAAAGTTTATTTCTCCTCAGAATATACATTTTAACTTCATGGTACAATTCTATTTAGGGTTGTGGTACATAAATTTCTGTATATGTGAGGAACTGGTGTCTGACATAGGCATAAGCCTGTCCTACAGATCACCAGGTCCCCACCCCTGGATAATTTGAATACAACAATTATCATTTTCATATTGAAAAGACAGCTAAAATGCGGTACCACGCAACAACATGGTTCAGCAAGGCAAGTAAAGAGAACAATTTTTTTTTTCTTTGCCTACAAGTTGTGCATGAATGTGTGTGTGCGTGTGTGTGTGGGTGTGTGTGTGTGTGTTTGTGTGTGTGTGTGTGTGTATTTGTAATATCAATGTAAAAAGGGATTTTTTTTATTATATAATAAATAAATAGGAATATAACATATTTATAACTAAAACTGTGCGAGTACAGTATAGGGTCTGGGTAGGCTTTTTGAAGAAAAGGCCATAGTTTGGAGTCGGCCAACAGATATGGTGCTTCGAGTAACCAAATTGAAACTTAACACAAAAGTGCTGTAATACAATTTACTCTCTGGTCATTTAAAGGAGTCAACGCGAGGAGGTATCTGTCTTTGAAGCTTCTAACTACCTGTTTATTTTTGAATATAACATATGTATGGCGTTCTTTTTTATGTCTTTTTAAATGTAAATAAAGAGATTTTATTGAGAGGTTTCTTTTGCAACTCAGGAGTCACAAGTGCATTGTCTCCGTTTGAGTCCCCTTGCCCAGAATTAAGGGGGAAGGGAGTTTAGGCACAGGCAATCTCACTCACTCGGTGAAAAACAACGGCAGAAAGCTTAACACCGGTTTTCTGTGAGGCCGTGTTGCCGAAGTATGGCTCTCCGACTACCAATATTGATATGTACCTTCTTCAATATCATCAACAGCCTTTAACAGTCCACTACTGGACATATGGCTCTCCTTACAAAGGAGTATTTGGCCTCCTATATCATGCTGGCCAGACGGGTTGGTATAGGGTATCTGTCAAGTTTTGATTCTTTTTGCAGTGCTGTTGTCCTGCGTAGTTCTCTCCCTTAGTCGGCTCTTACGACACCCACAGGATGAATAAGATAGGAGTTCTTTAATACACTTTTAATTCATTCATTTTGAGTCCAAGGCAGTTGAACCGTTTAGTTATTTGGTAATGGTTATATTACTATAGTCAATCCCATTGAACAAATTATAGCAGTCCCAATGCGGGTGGCACAAACCCCAAAAAAAAAGAAGTAAATACCTGTATAAGCCAATGTTGGTTGTAATTATAGTTAGCTGGTTTCCTCGTGGCCTGACGCGCCTGCATCCAGTCCGTGTTCGAGATCAGCTTCGGAGTAGGAGCTGCTGATAGAGCCTGGAATATGTTAACGTAATATATTACTATATGTGAACAGCCTTTATACATTACCTACTTTTTACATAGTTTCAGAACTAAATAATACTATTGAGAAAATGTATTTTTTTTGCTTATTAATTTTTAGTTGATGCAAGACGACTAACCAAAGTTCTACTATACAGTATAGTTCATCCTAGTTGTCTGTTAGAGATTTGCAGACTGGTATAAGACCGCCCATTACTGTTTCATAAATTAAGAGTATCTTTTTTTTCTTAGACAACTCCCGTATTAGGCATATATCCTGTGTCGATGGGGACTTTACAAATATACATGAAACGGACACAAAGAACACCCAGTTTCAGAACAATAATTTGTGGATCTCACTAAGTGTCGTGCCATGTGGGGATCGGACCCACAACACTCAGCGTGCAAGCGGCGTGGCGACTGACTAAACCACGTGCAGTCAAATTTAATTTATTTAATTTAAAAAAAATTAAGTATCTATATTTCTATATACTAAACATTACAAATTAGAGCATTTAAAAGTGAATAATTATTATGGGGAAAGGACTAGGAAGTATGTAGTACCAAAGTTATGTAATAAATATCAAATACTAAGGGAGGACAAGAAAATAAAATGTAAGTTTAAACTAAGACTTAAAGAAATATTTGGATATGGCAATAGATTAAAACGTGTACATAAATAGGGAAGCAGGTACCCAGGAAATAGGTTACACATATTTATGTATTGTTTGTCTTGAATTTATTTTGTTTTTACAATATGAACTGCGTTGATAAATCAGTCAATAAGGGAAATAAATTCTTATGTACCTATAAATTAAAGTTGGAATATATGTATGTCCAAATAAGTACCTGGAGCGTATGCCTGGTCATGGGATGGTAGTGTGGGCTGTTGCCGTTGGGTACCGGCTTTGGTCGCAGCTGCACGTTGGCGTACTCCACTGCTGAGGGGACGCGGCTACTCCTGGAAAGAAGAACAATGGGAATATGTAACAGGCTATTTACCTGAGAATAGAATTTTGAGTTATCCGAAATTTACATCTACATCGAACAACACTTATATCAAAATAAAAGAAGTAAATTAAAAAATATATATATTTAAAAAACAAAAAAAAAAACGCTTTCTATAGAAAACCAAACTACAAAAATAGAAAATAAATTTGAAAAAAAGCGTTGGGTGCCTGTTGTCAATAGTAAAAAGCACCCCACATAGTTTTTAAAACTATTTTTTTTTCTTAATTAGTGTATTGTCATCGGTCCTCGATATATCTATAAAATTTGAACGAATTCTGACCGTTTAAAGTCAGTCAAAATCACGCCCAAAGGAGTCGGTTACAAACATACAAGTGAAGCTAATATAAAGCGTGTAAAAATGCAGCAGATTGCCCCATTTGAGAAGTGTGTCGCCATCTGTTATCTAATAGCGGCACTAATCCAGTATTTTAAGAAACTTTTGTATACCCCAGAATTTCTTGGAAACTTTTTAAAAATAAAAAAGGTCATTATACGGTGTTTAAATTTTCAGATTTTGCAATAGCGAAAAAAAAAACTGCGAAGAATAACAGAGTTTCAGCGAATATCAGTAAAAATTGTTATTTGTTGATCATTGTCTACTGCCATTTCTGTAAATAGGTAAATATTATCTATTTTTTAATCCCGACTCGCAACAATTCGTACCTATTGTCATTATTGCTATGATCGATATTTAACCCGTTTCTTTTAGATTATAAGTAATAAAATTGTACTAAAAATTTTAAACAGAACAAAAAAAAACTAACCTCATAGTGATCTCCCTCTCAATCGACTCCCGACTCTTCGGTTTCGGAGGCAATACCGGCTGGGGTACTCTCAAAGGCTGTCTCCTAAAATCCTTGCCTTCATATAGAAGCCTCCTGCTCTCCTCCACACCGAAATGCCTCTGCATATGCTCCTCAGAAACGAAAGGCTTTCTCTTTTCATCTACTACTCTTTCTCCCTCCATCTGCCTCTCAGGAACAGCGGGAGGAATGGAGACGTAGTTCTCGTTTAGTAATAAGTTTGGCATAGAATGTCTGTAGTTCTGATTTGTGATTTTCGGCCTGGCGTGTAAGGGAGGTTTCTCAGGGGTAGAAGGTATAGTAGAGATGTCTTGAACAGATTTTTGAATGATCCTGTTTTGATCTCGAATGAGATTCTCTCTTTGTCGGCGTAGTTCTTCTTGTTCCAGCTGGAGAAGTTCTCTTTCGAAGCGGAGTACCTCCTATTATTGCATTAAGGTTATGTTTTATAAAAAAGATTAGAAGTTTTTTTAGATATTTTGTTTATTAGAATTTGTAAGGTCCTGTAGAGATTTTAAAAAATAAATCCTGGGATTAATCAGAATGGTAAATTTTCTAACGTAATAAATGAGTTTATTCTTATGTTAAATTTAGTTTTAAGTACAATTCTTAAAAGGAGTTTAAAATCTTTTTTTGCAGATATTATATTGTTAAACAAGTTGTAGTAGTATATTATTGCCGATAACGATATTGTGATTTTATAAAAAGGATTCGGTAAAAAAGAATATTTAAAAACTTAATCTCGTTCTTATAGGACCTTACAAGAGTTATATTAATTAAATTAGTGTAAACAGTTTAGTGACAATAGCATGAAGTGAGCAATTTAAGCCAGCTAGCGTGGATTAGCTTATTAAATTAATAAAAAAATGAACTTTACATTTAATTTAAAAGAAATTTCAGTTTATCTATACATATAGAAATGTTAAGTTGGTTTGTGTACGCTTCGAAAACTCAAAAAGTTCTGCACCGATTGAGCTTAAATTCGACACGATATATAACCCACTCCAAGGATTGTTTTTATATATTTTTCGTAGTCAGTTTGTTCCTCATTTCATATCAATGTGCCACAGTGAAACGTGGCAGGTTACGGCTATTTACAATAAAAATGCAAATAAAACCTGTCTTTCTATACATTTTTTTTATTGATTATATCTAATAAGTCTTTTTTTTTGTATATATAAGATAACTCGCGAATCAGGAATATATCCTGTGTCGACACAAAGTGTGGTTCCAAGTGAGGGATCGAACCCACAACACTCAGCGCGTGAAACAACTACGCCATCCGTGCAGATAAATTGTTTTCTATATTACATTATTTTATTAATAGCATAAACTGTAGTTTCTTTTAAAGTGTGTATGTAAGTGTAAAATGTCATTCACCTTGGTGTGGGTATCGTCATAAGCCCCGTCGGGCCAGTCCTCGTTAATGCACGCCTGCAAGACACGCCACGCCACACAATGTTATTTACATCACAATGCCCACTGGTGGGGAACCATAAAACTTATTGACGCATCATGGGTGAATGTAAATTGATGACAAATATACAGGTGGGTGTGAAAAAAAAAAGTCTAGCATTAGTTATGATAAATAATTAAATTGTTGTGAATGCCTTTTTTTTTCATTGTGCATAAGTATTATGGTTCCAATAAGAGATGACGTCGTATGATATGACACAGATTATTTTTAATCTTTAAAATATTACACATTTTAACTTTAACAAATAAAATATAAAAATTAAAGTATTATTTTAAAATTATTGTTTAATTGTAAGATTTAGATACATGCAATCAATATTTTTGTATAAAATGTTTTGTGATATATATTATACATGTATAGTGCATCGTGAAAAATAGTGCTATAAAATGAAAGGCGAAGATTTTATTTAAAATAAATAATATTTATTTAAAGGATTGAAGCAATACACATAGGTAGCTCATTAAAAACTACTTTAAACTAAAATAGACTTTGTTCTAATTAAAGTGGATACATAGTTTTAAGTATAAATAAAGCGTTAAAAAGCAAAATATGTTAATCTAGCAGCGTAATATAAATATGTCTTAAATACCACATAACAATATAATTAAACTAAGAAATGATTTCGTGCAAGAGGGTGTTTATTATCAAAACTTGTTACTTAAAAGTACATCGCGACTTCAATTCGAAACATTTATTTATTTTAGTTTTTTACTCACTTTCGGGCACAAGGGCTTTACCCTGAAAGATAAAGGGGGACCCCCCTTAACAAATTCATTATTATTTATTGGAAAGTTATAAGGGCCTTATTTATTGGAAAACGCTTGTAATGCCGGCGTTATTTATCACACTATTTAATAATCTAATATATAGTTTAGTGAATGAAAAAAAGGTCGCTAATTGTGGATTTTAACTAATCTAATAATTTGGTTCCTAATATCACGAATAAACAAAATAATCTATCCTAAATAATCAAACCATTATACATCCTAAAATCAACTCTGACAGTAAATGATAAGGCTTACTTTCGATAATTTTGTTCTCTAAGGTGGTATTTAAAACATTAATTAAATTAATAACACAATCAACCTTAAGTGCTAAAGTGCTATTAAAGCATTTACAGTGCTAGACCTTACCAAATTAGCAGTGATATATACATAGCAAATATAACAATATTGTAGAGATAGTATACATAAATATATACACTTTCGTTTCCTTAAAATACAACCTGTATATCGACCTGTCACAAATATGTGACAGTGGCTTTAAAAAATAATATGTATATTTAGAGAAATAATAAATCAAGGCCGATTATTCTACAGTAGAATTAACTTTATTATCATATTCCTTTACCTATTCTTCCCTGGATTCTAACGACGCTAAGTCTAATTTTTTTTCATTTCTTAATTGTCAATTAATGACAGTTATTTGACATTAGCAAATGTTGCTGTAACAAATAATTTATGTTTCTTTTGTTTTTGAAAAAAAAAACTATCATTTTTTTTGTTTTACATGTTGCTCTTTTTATAGTATAAGGGGCAAACGAGCAGACGGGTCACCTGATGGGAAGTGATTATCTGCGCCCATGGACTCGGGTCGAGCCCATATGCGCATGGTTATACCACGATAACTTGTCGTTTATATTGTACACACTAAATTACTCTATTTTACTAAATTTCTTTAAGGAAATATTCTTAAGATGTAAGTTCAGCCAATCGAAAAGAAAACGAAAGTCAATATTAAAATGAAACATTAATTATAAGCCTCGATAAATCCACCGTATCAAAATGGAAGCGAAAGCGACTACCTCAGATTTATCGCTAAATTAATCAATAATTACCAAAGCGAATAATTCGAGAAATAAACAGAATCTTTCCCATACACAATTAGATTATAATTATATAACAAAGAGATCTAGAATAAATTGTACATAATCGCTTTTAGATATTAAAGAACTACGTTTCGTAACATCGAATTTATTCACATTGAAATAAAGTCGACTTTAAGTTTAGTTTTTGTATCGAAAAAATTCACTAACTACATATAATAGCAATGAGAAATAATTTAGGTAAATATTATATTAAAATAAATAGTGTATATATATCTAGCAATTCATTTTCTATGAAGTGTAGAAGAAAGTAAAAAGCTTTCTCTACATTCTGTAACAACACTACATTCTATTACAGGTGAATGAAATCATTTGCTGTAGTCGTCATACCTAACAGTCAGGAACTAATAGTTCATAAAGGAAAATACAATAACGCGGTCAGTGGGTGTTCCATACGGTTGAATTAGCCAGTGCAACCAGAAGGTCAATTCTCGTAATAAAAGTTCGGTCACAATTCAGTTCCGATCAACTTTCGATCTCACAACTGTCATAAAAGGTGTTTTCGTATAAAAATTGTAAAGTATTACTAAGACATAAAAGCCGTGTGGTGTCGTGGGACACCCGATCGAGTAAAACTGATTAGACACGATTTTAATTACAACGCCATCTATGAAAGCGGCTATTACCTACATATTTTTCAGTTGGTTTCTAATTAAAACAATTTATACATTGGTAAAAATCTCCTTGAGAAATGATGTCGAATACAATATTTTTTGCTCAACCTAAGAACATAAATTTTAATTTTACTATTCGATAGATGGCGCTGAATGACTGACAAGTGACAATTCAAAATAAAAAGTGTCGTGACCAATTTTCGTAAGAATTTTTTCCGTCTAGCCCCCTTTCACAACGCGCGATAAGGAACTTCGTTCCAACAATACGATATAATCACATAACAGTCAACGATGGATGTTTAATACTTTACTACGAAAATACCTTTTATGAAAGTTGTGAGATCGGAACTGAATTGAGACCGAACTTTTATTACGAGAATCGGATTTCAGTTCGAAACGTCAGGCAATCGATCTCGTTATATGCTCATGTCGACCGTCCATTGAACGTAGGTTTAACAAAAAGCATACAGTCAAATTTAGTAAGACTGTGTTAACCCCGAACTTGAAATTTACTGTATATTAAATAACCGAATTTATTTATATAAAGCTATAATACAAATACAGACAAAACTTTGTAATATTTTTGGAACTTGACATTTTCAATTATAAGAATACCGTTTGAATGAGTTTTAAAACGGTTTTCTTGGTTGTCAATAATCGGGTAGATGATTTTACTAAAAAAAAAAACTCCATTTCGCTCAATAAAATTACTTAAAATACTGTTAAAATAATCGTCCAGTTTTCAATTTACTTTATAATCGTCAAATTCACATTAAAGGCGAACGATTTTGACAAGAGCAAGGCGTGACGTCATGCTCATTTAATTCACATTTAACCCCTCCACCGTATTTTATGGTATTAAAAATATATTAAATTTCTTTTATTATATAATTTAGTTTGTAATATAATGATAATAGAATGTAGTGTTAGCCAAAATGAAGTGAAATTACAATAACCCTTTCTTATTTGTAATTGTGCAAATAATTAGTAAAGAGAAAAGTGCAAAATTAGATAGGTATTAGTTACATAAGTGAAAAAAAAAAGATTTTTTTGGTAATTATAAATTGGATAATAGAATGATTGATTGGAAAGTAAGTAATCAAATTATTGGTTCAGTTACAGTTTCACAAAATTAGAATGTCGATAGTTCCATATTTAATCGAATTTAGCGTGACTTGAGCTGTTTTTAAGTCAAAAAAGATTTTTAAATTAATTTTAGTCTATCTAACGCGGATGAGTAAGCTCTATCACGCGTTTTAAACTGTGCACTAGACTAATTCGAACTCATCAACTACAAAATGCATTTAAAATTCACAAAAATAAAGTTCAATTTTCGTTGTCACAACCTTATCTCACTTAAATGAGTATCAGTTTAATTAATTTGTTTAACTTGTGACAACCAGGTCAGCAGGATCCCTGATTCAATTAAGAAATCTGCTTTTACAATAGAAAATTAAGTGTCTTATTATACTGGTCTCAATTTAGACGCCATTATTTTTCTTTTAAATCTATCTCTTTCTAATTTTACACTTTAAGCAGCGTTCCTTCTACCCTTGCATACACAATTATAGTACCTGTGTCTGCTGCAGTTTCTTGTCGATGCTCTCAATCTTGTCTGCCGGTGCGTCTGTTAACTCTGTCAGCTTAGAGTTCAAGTTGGCTGTGAAATCTTCTCTTTTCTTACTCTGTTCTTCTTCATCGGATGTCACTGTCACGTGGGTGTACGGCTGGAAATTAGAAAGATATATTTATGAAATATACGTAGCACAATGCGTCTGCGCAAAGTAACGTCTTGGAACTCTTCCCAAAGCTTTCTGAAGTTCAGAAAATCTATAGGCAAAACCTCCTATCTAAGGAGAGGCCTATGCCCAGCACTGGACTATTAAAATTGATGATGATGACAGTCTATAGATGCTTGTTTGCCAAATTCATAATTCTATTAGGAGTAATATAACACAGACCCTGTGCTTATGTGAATTATTTACACTTGAAATGCAAATCTAAAATAATAGCACCTGGCGGCACCAGTTCCAACCGATTAGGAAGTTGGGTATGCTCAGCTACGTGCGCTTGCGTCAAGAGCATAGAAATGCATATGAAACATCTAGAACGTCAGTAATGTTTTGTTTGAGATCCATATGTCCTTAGATATGTCTTTTCACCCAGAAAATAGAAACGAAGACTAACAATAATTTCATGTAGCGTAGAGAGCTAGCGAGATAGAGAGAGACAAAAACAATTCTATACCTTTCCCCTTTGTTTTTTTATAGATTCTCTTTTTAAATTAATTTTCAAAGTGTCACCAATAAAAAAAAAATAGAAACTTTTTTAACTAAATTCGACGAATGATAAATTTTTTTTTTTTAGTCCAAATTCGACCACTAAATGAACACTATTAAACGCGAATTATATATGTCGGCAACTAGGACGTTGATATTTCGAGTTGTACAAAGTGCAGGTACTTATTAGTACCTGTTTTCAATTAAAAAAACATTAAACAAATTACAAAAACACTAGTCAGCACGATCGTTAAGTAAAATCGATTGTATCTTAGATTCTTGTACGATTTCACAATCCTTATCTTATTATGTGTTTGACTGTGGATAGCCGCGGTTACAACCTATGTAATTAGGTTTGTGATAACGATAATATGTACATTCCAGACATATTACTCATTAGAATTCAATTTCTTGGCTAAGTAGTGACTGAGTAGTTGCAAAGTTAAGCAATGTTAGCCAGGTCAAGCTATGGATGGGTGATCATTCTTAACATTTGGAGACCTCGCCGTGCCTCGCTATTAACATCTGTGGCAATCGTTACGGGTAGTTGGACTCCTAGAAATTCCGACAACAGTTTTTCTATAGAACTTCGATATCCCCTAGTACTTGCGTTGTGAAGGTCTGATGGCAGTCGCTCCACGTAAAAAATCTAAGTTCAGGCGTGTCGTGGTAGACTGTGAGCCGACCCCAACCTAGTTTGGGCTTTTCCCAAACTCGGAGGAAGATGGTTGCAGTCAGTGTTTTTGTCACCGTGGGAGTGTGTTAACTGGAGCTTTAAAAATACTCCTCCTCCCTCTCCCTGGTTTTGGAGGGAAGAACCCAGAGCAGCAACGCAACTTGTGATTCTTAAATTGCCTATATCAATGGGCGGCGGTAGTCACTTACCTTCAGGAGACCCGTTTACTCGTTTGCCATACCATACCATTAAGAAAGTTAAATTATAGTTAGCAATGTGTGTGTTTTCTCAAGGATGTGTTTGTGTTTACGAAATATTGATTCATGAAACATACCTCACTATTCTGTCTGCTGTGAGGATTCGAAGTCTCTGGTGACGAATGACCCTTATACCAAGCCTCAGCCGACGGACCCCTGTCTACATCGACACCAGAATCTCTGCTATCTCTTAACTTAGCATCCATATCGTGAGAGAGAGTCTTCTTATACAGAAGCTTCTCAATCTTGGTCTCTTCTTGCAGGAAAGAGGTGATGTCTGGTCTTGGTGCAAGAGTGAGATCTACGTCTAGGTAGGAGTCGTCTACTTGGCCTTCGATTCCAAGGAAGCTAGTACGCTTGTTCCGTATTTCCTTCTTGATGCGGCGGGCTGAGCTTGTATGCTTAAAGTTGCCCTGATAAAAGAATACATGTTACACAATATTAGGCTGCAGAGGTTCTATATACTACTTTAGGAGTTATATAAAATTATACATACGTGTGTACAGTGTTACGTTATCTTATAGAACAACAAATAGGTTTAATGTAGGTTTCTTAACTTACTTTTAGATTGTACTAAGTAATATTTAATGAACGTGCATGAGAATCGCGGCAACTAATGATTTAGACGAACCCTTTTTTTTAATTCTTTTATTCTTTTAAAAAAGACAACTCCCGCATTAGGAATATATCCTGTGTCGCGGGGGACTTTACAAACATACATGAAACGGACACAAAGAACACCCAGACTCAGAACAACAATTTGTGGATCACACAAAGTGTCGTCCCATGTGGGGTTTGAACCCACAACACTCGGCGCAGTAGGAAGCGGCGTGGCGACCGCTTAAACCACTGCGCCATCCGTGCAGTCTAAAGAACTGAAGAAAGGAATATTGTTATGTCTAATAATCACTAGATAATTTTGTTATAAATACTATAGTTTGCTTCCTTAGTTTTAAATTATGATAATATTCATAATTTGGGCCATCCGTGTCGTGACGGATTAAGAATACGGAATGTCACCACCCCTATTCATCCCATGGGTGTCGTAAGAACCGACTAAGGGAGCAAACTACGCAGGACAACAGCACTATAAAAAGAAGGAAAACTTGACACAAACCCTATACCAACCCGTCTGGCCTACTATACGCTGGTGAGGCCTATGTTCAGCAGTGGCCTATTAAAAGCTGTTGATGTGATGATGATTCGTAATTTATCAAAAATTATACTGGGTTATATAATAATTGGATATTTAAATTTAATTATTTTATACCAGAATGAAATATAGATAAAGGTTTAAAACGTTTTAGCTGTAGTAGTTTTCTAATTAGTAGTTATTTTAAACTAATGCTTTTTTCTTGTTAACAAATAATAGTAATTGTATTGAAAACATTTAGTAAATATTTTTACTTTTTAATTGTTTGATTTATTATTATAGATCTATTTTTATATATATAATCCTTTAATCTTCTAGAATTAATCATCTTAATCTGATAAACATACACCAGGATATTCACGTATGATAAAAAGAAGGAAAAAGATAACTTACATTCCCAAGAAGTTCATCCTCTCCGTCCTCAGTCGGAGGCGGAGGAGGCTTTTCTTTCGGAGGCTCCAACACATTTGTGTTCATATCCAGCGGGAAGGCTTCATCTGTATTCTGGTAGAAGATATCTATATTCTCGTACAGAGGAGTCACAGTTATCTTCTTCTCAACAAAATCAATATCTTCTTCTATCTTCTTAGGCGTATCGTCCATTGTTGCGCTGTCTTCCGAGTCCAGTTCTTTTAATGCTAACTCTAAAGCATCGAGTACCTGCAGGTTAAATTTTATGCGTTAAAAATTGGTTTTAAAAAAGTAAATTCGACAGTAAATATATAATAATATTATATATACTTCACACATATCATACACGGCCGTCTGATCCCAAACTAGGCAGAGCCTGTGCTATGGTAACCAGACTGCTGATAAACATACTTATATATTTTAAATACATACATATTATAGATAAATTACACCCAGACACAGAACAAATGATCATGTTCATCACACAATATTTATCCTGGGTGGGAATCGAACCCACGACCTCCGGCTTAGGAGCCAGGGGCACTAACCACTAGACCAAAAGGCCTGTCATTAAATAATAAAATTACGAGTATTTTTGTACTGTAGAAGCTTTGTTGATTTTTTATTGCTTTTTTTTCTGAATAATATCTAACATATATTAACTAATAAGTTCATTATTATTATTATTTTATCCTGCTCCAGGAATTTTGTTTTTAAAAAGTATATCTGTATGTATATTTCTTTTGCACGCCCTGTAACCTAAACGTTTTGATGGATTTTGGCGTTGGTGCTGTGAGATTCGTCTTAATTTTGAGAGTGACCCTGGGTATTGAAAACTATGAAATCTAAATTCGCTCTTTTGTAAATTTCAAGTATTTTCTTTTTACAATTCGGCAAAGACTTTTGGCTGGTCTCTTTATAGAAGGCCTGATATCATCCCTCCTTCGGGTAAGGAAATCGCATAGGGCGAAAGAGCCAGGAATAGCCCAATTCTCAAATGGGGAAAAGCAAATAAGACTGCAGTAATTTGATGAGGCCAAGGTCACGTATCATGGGTCACTAGGTCAGGGTCAACCAGTGGCCAATAATCATCTCATCAACAGCCTATACTAGTCCACTGCTGGACATAGGCCTCTCCTTAGAAAGGAGGTTAAATAATCATAATGATAATGAATTTAATTTATTTTTCTTGGTTCGGTTTCCACTCTATTATTGCGTGTATTTCCCCAAGTTCTAATGATAATACTTAGAATACTGAGTACACTGAGAAGACAATGACAGAATTTGTCATCCATTACATCATCAATGTAAATATTATGATACGGTTTTGTCAACATTTCTGAATCAACAAAACTTCGACACTACTAGAATATTAACACTTAATTTCATCAGTACAAGAAGCCGAAATCAACATTAATTTCAAAACAGAACACATTAGAAAAAAAAAAAACAATTAAAACAATTTCATTTTAAAACTTAAAAAATCAAACTTAACCTACACGCGGTCAATTGAAAAAAATACCAAAAAACGTAACAGACAAAATAAAGTTAATAATAAAAACATAAATTTAACAACAATAAGAGTGCAGAGAATGCATGCAAAGCATACTGTTAGTTGCAAAATGAAAATGAAACGATATTAATAATGCTTACCTTAAAAACCCATCACCATAAATTTTAACCTTAAAAGCTACGCTCTTGCCTTCTCTCAAGGAGGCTCGCTATCAGACTAACGTCAGATGTGACACAGATATGGCCTGTGTACATTAAAGCAGATAAGACAACTGATTTTATAACTATCATCTTTGATTAATATATATTGTTATTATGGTAATAACTTATTTATAAGATAGTGATTTTATACACGTGAATAATCAAGAAATAATTAAATAGGTCACATATTTAACTTCTGTGACGTTATTTAAGATATACCGTTATCATCACGGGTTTCGGTGAAACAAGTTGCGGGAATGACAGGAGCTCTTCCTGAAGTAGAGCTACCTAGCGTATAGGTGAATAGGCCCAAAACTATTATAATTTCGCCGAAACATACGTGAGAATAACCGTGTATATATTAATATATTTTAAATAGAAATATAAAAAAATATTTACATAAATTACATGAAATTATTTGTGTGCAGGGATTTATTTATATGATACATAAATAAAAGTCATACAAGTAACAATGGTAACATGTATTTGATATAATGAATTTTACAATATCACGTTGAATAAATGAATAAATATGTTGGGTATTAGACTACATATATGAACGGGTCTATACATAAAATTGTATGAAACTAGTGCGTAACCCTGTATGTCTAAGGGCTCTAAGCGCACATGAACTACTTCTTAACATTTCATCAATAAAATCGCTGTATAATTAATGAATTTCTATTCTTAGTCACAATTTACCAACTGTTTTTCGTGTGCATGATGCCTATATACGGCTGAGTGCTAGGAATTCTATGGTTTTAGCACAATGGAGAAATTTAGGTATTAATAGATGGGAATATAAACACAATATGACATTAGTACTGTTCGGGTGAGATCAGTGGATTCTGAATTTGAATTGGCCGCCATTTTATTACTAACAACAATTTTATGTCGTTCTGTAATTTAAACTATATTCAAAATTGAAACATTAGTTGTCCTGTTAACCTAACATAAACAAATAACATAAAATACTAAGGTGTGTTTCACTTCATCGTATTTGAAATCAAAATATTATTTCAATAGCAATAAAACGGCAACCAATTCGTTTAAAGATATCTAAATCTTTTATTCGAGTTTCATACTCTATTCCATGATGATTCTCATCTGAGCTTGCAAAGCAATATATGTATGAGAATGTTATGGACGCCTGTTTTAAGACAAAACATGAAGGTATGAAGACCGTTTTTAAATTTTACGTTACATTTATACCGTTATTTTATGTTATACGTTATACATTAATAAGGGGATTCATTTCGTTACATTATTACCGCTGCGTTACGTTATAACTTCAAAATCGGAATGATTAAAGGTTAGTAACGTTTTCGTTCTCACGTTTAGTTAATGCAAATGATACTTTTTTCGTTAAAATTCTCGAGAAACGGTGGTTCTTTGCACATGTATCAGAGTTGGAAAGATTTTTATAGGTACGTATTGAGTGTATTTTCTATTTAATTATACAGCTGAAGACTAAATATAGTTGACCCGTTTAAGATCACTTTATATAAAGAAGAATAGACTATATTTCCTCATAATTAAGATATAAAATTAAGATACTTAAATATCCATTCACAAGGACTTCAAAACCGTCGAAGACATATATACAAGTGTCACAGTAAGACATAAGTACATTTAAGGAGCTTTATGTGTAACCTACATTTAATATATATCGCCTAAAATATGTATATTTCGAAAACAGACATTCATTTCATCAGAAAATGTTTTCTGTGTGTAAATAACAGATATTATATAGTAATTTTTTTATGCCGACATTTTTACATTCCATCAACATACTTGGTATTAAATATCAGTAGTTTTATTCATGTCCTCTTTTTATAAAATACTTGTTTTATCAGTCAATTTTAAATTTCAATTTTTCAGTTTAAAAATCTGATTTTAGTACTAAAACCACCACTTAAGATATTTTAAATTGATAGCACTTAAGTTAAGACAATTATTAACGGGGTCCACGCCTTTTATAGAACCCTGTATTCATTCAAGATGGTTTGTATTCAAGATAAGATAAGAATTGTTCGTATATTAACACCAATGTCTGACGTTGAAATTAAGTATTTTAAAACAATTGCTGTGACGAGGTTTTAGATTTAAAGTAGGCCATCTAAAGTAAATATTGGCGCATCTAATACCGACTTAAGGTCTATAGGCCTCTCCTTAATTTAGCTGGCTATTATTACGTACGAGCTAAGATACGACTCTTTTATACGTATAAAGATTATAATGAAAATTATGTTTTATTGAATAAAAATATTATATTTTATTATTATTTTAAACATTTTTTGTGGATTTATTATAGAAATAGACGTTTAGTAACATAAAAGCCATTTAAATTTCGTTTTGTTGAAATCCGATTTTATTTGAGTTTTAAGATATAATATTTAATACCGTTTTGATGAAATATATAGCGTATATACGAATAAAAACTATTTGTGGCTACATAGTTCCTGAAGGTATACAGTTTAAAGACGAAACATGTGACGAAGTACCACTTTATGAAAGCTAGTAGAAGCTAGAATTGCGCAACTACGAGTGTTCCCATACAGAAGGAGGTCTCACGCCGTAGATGGCCCGAGGTACTTCGGGGTACCAGGGATTTTCTTTCTAGGGTACACCTGGTACCCGGGACGGCGTGCGGTTTTAGTCGGTTCGAGTCCGACATAGCCAATCGTATCTGGTGGTGGTATCTGAGAGGATTTCCGCACAGAAAAATATTCATTGTTTTGTCTAGTTTATTGTTATGATTGCTAATCGAAGCATTCAGTACCATCTAGTGCTTCAATTTAATGTGATATCTGGAAAAGTGTATCTAATCTACGGTTGAATTAATAATTGCGAATAATTGTGTAATTTCATACGGGTATATTTCTTTGTCAATCCATTAAATTTATGCTGTTTTGGTATTAATTTCAGATTTATATACATATAAACCTAGAAAATAATATCTAATATTTTCGGACTTCTGACACAACGCCATCTAGTTTCAAACTAAGCAGAGCTTGTACAATGAGAGCTAGATTTAATGTACACAGCTAAAATAGATCCTATTCATGCATGTTTAAGTCTATTAAAAAGGAGTATTTTCTTAATACAACTTGACCCTACATTTTTCGAGAGCCTATCTTCGTCTAAAAAATCCAAGATGGCTGACGTTAAGTGACAATGATGCAATGTTAAGCTATGGTTTCTCATGGATGACAGTATTAGGTAAAGTTTTAGTTGTTACTTTATTATTTATAAACAAAATGGTTTTTCGTCTATTAGGTTCTATTCTGCGTTTAATCCGCTTCTCCCAGAACGGATTTTCGTCCTGCGTACTTACCGCTACTTCTCCACTGTTAGCTGTAATTTTAGCAGGATTTTGTATATTATTACTTATATTATCTACAAGAGAACATTCCGTAGAACAAGACAAATCAGCTACGTCATTACTTTTTAGCGATCTAACAGAAGTTTTAGGTGATATATTAGTAATAGTTGTTATATTTGAGACAGTTACCATGGGCATGCTGTTAGTAGTATTAACGTTGTTAGTGTTCCCAGCACCGGCATTTATATTGTTGCGTATTTCGTTAAAATTGAGATGTATAGTCATCTTCCCCTCGAACACCACAGTATCGCTTTCCGATGCAGTAGAAACAGGCTCATTCAAACTTACACTGGTGTCCTGGTTTTCCAAACTTTTTAGAGTATCTTCATCATCTTTGTCAAGTTGTATCTCAGTGATTTCTGTAATGCTTAGCTCTTCAGGTTGAGAGACAGCTTGCAGGTAGTTGCTAGTGCTGTCGTCGTCCGTTTTAAGGTCTTGCTCCTCAGTTTCTTCCACAATCACATCTTGGACTATTTGAATAGATTCGTGATTGTCGATTTCTTTAATCTTCGGTTCCATAATGATGTCATCTTTGGGTGTGCCGTCTTCATTGGAAGATTCATATTCAGACACTTCAATTGCTGGCTCTCCGATCGGAGACGCGACTTGAGTCAAGTCTGCAATATCATCAGCTGGAACGCACGAGTCTCTAGCGGTGTGTATCCCGCTGTCTTCTGTCTCTATATCACTAGGCACAGTATTGTTCTGCATCTCAGCGCAATCAAAGTCTTCCAAAGATTGAACTCTATCAAAAGAGTTAGGAGATGACTGTCCATTAATGTCCAAGCTGTCTAAAGAACGACAGAAACTTTGCATTTGGCTTTCAATTCCAGATAAACTAGATTTCAATGAAGTATCCATCAGGTCATCCTTAGTTTCTTCAAGCTTGGTTTCGATATCTTTGTTGTGAGATATTTCATCTTCAACGGATATTTTTGAAATCTCCTTATTTTTCGCAGCGTCAAGACAAGAAAGACGCTCTTTGAGACTCATGGAAACCTCTTTGACTTCTGTTTTAGTCAGTTTAATATCTTCCTCAGATGTCTGTGACTTCAAACTAGAAAGACGTTCCTTCAAAGATTTTGCATTGTTTAAATCTCCATTCGACAGTCTCTTCATTTTCTCAGGTTCTGTAGACTTAACCTTTTCAAGCGAAGATAACCGTTCCTTCAAAGGTTTGACTTCAGTGGGTAACTTAGACAGATCTCTTGGGGACTTCTGCACATGTGACTCCTCTGTAAACTTCTCTAAGCTAGACAGTCTTTCTTTTATTGATTTTTTGTTGGCTATTTCAGGCAGTTTTGGTTTATTCGTTTGTGGTTCTTGAGAATTCTCCCTTTCAAACTGTTCTCTCCTTTTGTGAATATCAACTTTAGGCAAGTCCTTTTTCTGATTATTATTTTTGGCATCGTTAGCTCTTTCATGTTGGAAAGAGGAAACTTTTTCTTCAATTTTAATGCTCACGTTAGTCCTGATTCTGTTTAGATCACCATTTTTCTCTGGAGACTTCTCTTTGATATTATTATTAACGACAGTTTTGATCATGTTACTATTCGTTTGTGAGATGATGCGCGACTTGTAGCCCTCAATGGCGCTCTCATAAGTGTACTCTTCAGGCTCCGGAGAGCTTATCGTGGTTGTCGTGCAAGTGTCGTATTCGTTGGCGCTGGAGCCGAGCTTGCGATTTGTGTCGCAGTTGGACATGTTGTCGATGTCTGAATGGTTTTTGTCCAGATCGATACCGTCGCTCTGAAAAAAAAAGAAAAGTAGTACAAACGGATGAATATTTTGATTCTGTTTAGTGTAGATAGCTTCTATGATTTTGTTGTGCTTAAGACAATATGATAATATAATGTTTAAAGTAAAATACAAATCTTGAGGTAAAGGTTTTTATATCTACTTACAGCCAAACTATGCGTATCGCAGTCTTCGCTCAGACTGCTCTTGGTGCTGGAGGTGCCGATGCCAAGGTCGCTCAGATCGTGCCCATCGTCCTCCGTGTAGAGAGCCAATGGGTTCCGCCTTCTGCGGCCAGCGCTAAAAAAGAAGAAATAGAATTTTCAACATCAATGAATTTAGAATCATACTATAATAGATACAGATAAATAGATTAACAGAAGATTTTAAAAATCAAAATCAAAAGTCGGATAAAAGGAATAAAAATGTATCTAATGAATAAGTCTAGACTTGTGGTGACGGATTAAGAATACATAGTGTCCCCCCCCTATTCATCCCGTGGGTGTCGTAAAAGGCGACTAAGGGAGCAAACTACGCAGGACAACAGCACTGCAGAGAGAAGGAAAACTTGACACAAACCCTATAGTATAGGGCCTATACCAAGCCAGCGTGGTGTAGTAGGCCAAAACCTCCTTTCTAAGGAGATGCCAATGTCCACCAGTGGACTAGTAAAGGCTGTTGATGAAGTCTAGACTTCACGACTGTGAATCACTGTCGTGTCTAAGTCTAAGTTAATTGCTGTTAAGCCACATTCAAAGTGAAGTGCAGTGGCTCCTAAATTAAAACCGTTTTCGTTTTCATTAAATTAAACAACCAACTGCAGTCCACTGCTTTAACACACACTGCTTTAAGTAGACGTCTCCCATCCCATCCGCATGGGATCATGTGTGTTCTCACTAAATCCTCGGTCACACATTTTGGGTTAATAAATTCTTATATACATCCAAGTCAGTCATATACCTCCACACGAAATAGGTATTTAAACTGATTTAGCATGTTTACTAATATTTCTCCGAAGCCACCACTTGTGGATATTATTAGTGGCAGTCAGTATTTGCTTATATTTGTCATGAGATAACAAGAAATAAAGTAAACTACCGGGCCCATAGCCTTAGTCAGTTCCTGTGGTGTCAGTGTACTTAGCCGAGATTCTTCAGGCACTCTGTCATAGTTAATACTTATTTTATTATTCATAATATCAGTACAGGTGTTCTGTTTATTCTATCTCATATTCTGCATGTGCACGAGATTTTCTCTGTAAATTATCGTCAAGTGTAGCAGATGGCTCATTCAGAACTGGGCCATCCAATGGACAGGCTTGTTAGCTTAGTGGTGATAAGTGATTTGACTCAGGAAAAATAAGTGTGTGATAAGAAACATCAGTTGATCTATCAGCGGTAACTTATTAGTATAAATAAAGCTGAAATATTTTGGTTTTTGATAGTTATTGCTCGTATGGAAGCAGAATTATATTTATGTCTATTTTTTTATTTGTTGGGTTCCGAGGCAGTTTTAAGGCGTGTGTTCACTAGGAGACAGTGTAGGGATATATCTCCTGACATCCCCTGTGTCCCCTAAAGTTTTCGAATGACAAATTCAAAGACACAAAAGATGGATTTTTACATGTCTCGAAATTCTCTAGTTATGCAGGTGAAGTCAGGCGACTACCCGAGGCAATTATATATATTGTGTGTGTCGACTAACTCGCAAGACAAATGGCGTCTACAGAGAACGGGTCTTAACATTTTGTGAGACTCGCTGAGTGTCAGGTTCGATGATTTTGTGGGATAAATCATGGTATATAGACGTCACAGCCGTGGTACAATGCATGTAGAATTAGTATTCTCCATTTTCATTGTTAAGAAAATATAAAAACCACAAGTATACATCACAAATACCGGTTACCATACAGAGTAGGCGTATCAAACAACATTCACACTTTCACGGCCACCACAAATCAATTTCCAAAAACTTGACCTTCTCCATTTATAATCCATAGACACACTCCTATATAAATTATACGGATACATCGATAAAAGAAAAACTAAAATGACCAAACAGGTTTTTAGTCAAGGTGAGTAGCTTACGCAAGTCACACATCACATTATCAGAAATGATATAACCAATGAAAAGTGAAAACCATTGGACATATCACTTTCGCCTGCCTCCGTACATTTGAATAGAAAGTCCTAAATTGCATGTGTTAATATAATAATCTATATATAAATAATGTTTGTGTGCTATTCGGTTTAGATTTCTAGCTAAGCCAACAGAAACACATATTATTCGACCGATGCGATTGTCTAATAAAATGATTTTTCAATGAATAATGACTTTAAAAGCTATGGAAAAATACGGATTTTTACTTTATTTATACAACTAAAGTCATCGTGATCGAATCCGTGTGGTGACGGATTAAGAATACAGAGTGTCATCACCCCTATTTATCCCGTGGGTGTCGTAAGAGCCGACTAAGGGAGCAAACTACGCAGAACAACAGCACTGCAAAGAGAAGGATACCAACCCGTTTGGCCAGCGTGGTACAGTAGATCGTGAATGTCTCGGAACCTCTTGTGAAGAGTCTATCTATCGAATGTCTATTGAATCGAAAAGATTGATTATATTTGTCTTAAATCAATCGTACAATACATGTAATCTTAAATCCAAATACTGCATAAGTTCGACTTGGACGTGGTTAAAATAATAATAACCTCACACATCTTACACGGCCGTCTGGTCACATACCAGGCCGAGCCTGTACTATGGGAACCCAAACCGCTGATAAACATAACCTATATACGAGTAAATACTCAAAAACTCAAACTCTCTTTATTTCATTTTTTTTTAATTGTTTGAAATCGTCTTTTACGTAGACTCTAAAGTCATAGATCAACACACACACACAAAAGCAACAATCTCTGTTTTGTCAAATAGTAATCAAATAAATTTCACAAAACTCAAACCCATACAAAATCTATGATATGCCTGTGCCGATCTACAACCGCGCGTTTCCAAGGGGTTGAGCCTTATGAGAAGGGCAACCAAACTCATCAAATATATCTAAATATATACATATCATAGACAACAAATTATCGTGCTCATCACACAAATATTGGCAAAATGGCTAAGTATAACAGGAATACGAGTATGATGCGAATTGGAAAGCAAGAGAAAACGCATTCTTTTCCCCTGGATATCGTTCAAGGAAAGATCTAATAATAAAGTGTCAATGCAATAGAGAAATGTTTGTTCATTTGTACTAGATTATATCTGATTACCCTCTAACTTAGACAAGCCGGGAGAAAACTAGTTCAACTCTCTACCTTATCTAGTATATCCTTACGAACTATTAACAGCTAAGACAGTAAACAAGATACTATCTGAGATTGTATTTTACTAGCGGTTCAACGCAGTTTCACTTGTATTTTGTTTGGTCACTGCAGCGCTCTTGAGGGTCATAGCGTGATGTTTTATAGCGTATATCCATACTTTTATTATAAATGTGAAAGTGATACGCTTTCACGCCTAAACCACTAAACCGATTTTAAAAATTCTTTCACCAATTAAAAACTACATTATTAGCGAGTTACATAAAGTACTTTTTAACGCGATAACCGACATATACGCAGGCGGAGCCGAGGGCTAAAGCTAGTTACTCAATAAGTGCTGTATCGAATACAAAAATAATAATTCTTTTTTTTTCTTTAAAAAAAAAGGCAAAAGCATTTGGAATATATCCTGTGTCGCGAGGGACTTTACAAACATACATGAAACGGACACAAAGATCACCAAGACTCAGAACAACAATTTGTGGATCACACAAAGTGTCGTCCCATGTGGGGTTTGAACCCACAACACTCGGGTGTAGTAGGAAGCGGCGTGGCGACCGCTTAAACCACTACACCATCTGTGCAGTCAATCCATATAATAGATAATTTTCAGTCAAATTCAAATTATTCTTTTTGTATATAATAATCTATATAATATACCTATATATTTTGTATATCTAATAATTACAATTAGTATACATGTAACTAAGGACAATCTGTCGGTGTAGTGAGATCTTGATTACTAAGCTACAAGTTGAGTTCAATTCCCACCCAGAAAAATATTTTGTGATGAGCACGATCATCTGTACTGTGTTTATGTGTGGTGATGTAATACATACACATCTTATACATAAAATTCTCGTGTCACAATGTTCGTTCCCGTACTCCTCCGAAACGGCTTGACCGATTCTCATGAAATTTTGTGTGCACATCGGGTAGGTCTGAGAATCACCCAACATCTATTTTTCATACCCCTAAATGGTAAGGGTGACCCATCCCTATACTTTTTTTGTTTTGCAATACAACGTTTGCCGGGTCAGCTAGTTATAGATAAATTAAACCCATACACAGAAAAAAATGATCGTGCGACTCACACAATATTTGTTCTGAGTGGGAATCGTAACCACGTCCTACGGCTTAGCAGTCACGATCGCTAACCACTAGACGAACAGCCCTACCGAATAATAAAAGTTGATCTATGCAGTTGATTTGTGCATGAAACCAGTTTATATGAATATCACGTACGACCGTGCCTGATGTAGACAGATCTTACTAGTTATCCAATGTTCCATCTTAATTACCCTCATTATTATTTATACTTGCAAGGTCTTTGAGTGAGGGAGGTGATAAGGCTTTGAAATGTGATAAGAGCTACCATATAGCGTGTCTTAGGGCTCTGTCTAACTAGAGCCTGATTGGGCATGGTGTCAATTCAGGGAGGACATGAAATAACATGGTCCGGGTCCTCCCAGAATAGGGCGTCTGTCCGGCCTGTGGGCCGGCCGTCGGGGTGGTTTTTAGTGGAATTACCATATACTCCTGGCTCCTGAGTCCCCGAGGAGCAGGAGATTCGAAGGGATTTTCCACCCGTCAACAAAAAAGGACTGTCTAACTAAAGGAAAGGCGAACTAATAGCATGTTTGAGAGTCAGCATGTTAGAAAGTGGTTTAACTTTATAGATTCCGTCAATATAGTTTATAAACTATGTAATTGATTAAAATAAAATATCTTTATTTTATTTTTTAAATATATTTAAAGTTAGAGATGACCCGCAAAGACTCTCAAAGAACAGACAGCTAACTCCGGAACAACAACATATATTTGTAACCTACTAGATATATAGAACATTTGTTTAACAATAGGAAATGGCCACGAAATTCAAATTGTTGTGTTTTCGACTTACTTTCACGAGAAAATATTGTATTTAATTAGAAAATCGGAACATTTTGCTTTTAAATCGGGACCTTTATA